AGAACCTGCACATCACCTTTGAACTTGTTAGCGATGTAAATTCCCAGGCCTCACCCCAAATCTAACAAATCAGAAACTGTTGGTGTAGGACCCAGCAATTGTGTTTTAACAATCCCTCCGAGTGATTCTTATGCCTGCTAAAGTTGGAGAGAACCACTTCTCTATCCATACTGGATTGGCATCATTTCTGTTCCCATTCCCAGTACCTGCAGATAACTTGCCCTCTTTCTATGGGCTTCACCACCCTTTCTTTGGACTCACCAACTCCTACTTCTCCTGGTCATACATTCTGATAAGTTCCTGTTGAATAGAATAATGTAATTTGTTGGATATACCTTGGGGTGTAATGCAAACCAGAGTCACTCAGGGGCTACAGAATATTGATGAAAGATCCTCTGAAAGGAGCTAAAGGGGAGATTAATCTGGAAAGGCCCTTCTTGGCAAGTGTGGCCCCTTGTAATTCCCCCTATTAGCTTGGCAATTATATAGTGAAACATAAGCCTGGTTGGGCCCTGCTGCTTTTTGCTGCCGAATAGACTCAGCACAGGCAACTCCCAGCACACCGTAGGCTGCACTTGAAGTCCTGAATGAGGGCAGACTTTCCCCATGGTGGGTTGCAGGAGGTAACTGGACAGCGTATCAGATACTCATCACATGGCTTCATTATTAGGTGTATCCTCAGAGTGAAATGAGAAATTTATCTAAATTCAAGTACTGTATACTAAAAATACTTAAATATAAATGTAAAATAATAAATTTCCTAAATAATATAAATTATTTCCTAAAATAATACAAATCTGTGGTCCTCTAGCTTTTTCCTTTCCCAAACACAAGACACATATCAATGACATATAGTTGTCTGTACTCAGGTTTTAAACATCTGTCTCTATGGCTCAGGACAATGTTTCCTAATGTTCTAAAATCCATATCCTCTTTTTCTAAAACAGCTTGATTGAGATATTTTCTCACCCCCTTTTAATTTGTTGTTCTTCCCTCTATCACCACTTCTTTTTCTGGACAAGATTCACTGACACAAACAATCTTTTTTAATTAAAAGTTTTATGATTATAGACGTGATCAAGACACATGGTTTAAAAATTTCAAGTATCACAGAAGGTGATATGATAAAGGCAAAGCCTCCCCTTCCGTTCTCATGGGCCTCCTGTTCTCAATGACTCCAATCTTCTACTCTTGAAGTAACTACTCTTTAGTTTGTATCTAATTTGTTTTTATGTATGCGCATACATGAGTATAATGTATAATTTTCCTACTTTTTATACCATAGATTTTTACCATATGTACATTCTGCATCTCCCGACTGGTGTTTTGATTATCAGTGTGGTTGGACTAACTAGACCTATATATTGCATTTATTGTTGAGACATATAATTTTTTTTGGTCCATATTAGCTCTTTGAAAAACCCCACTGTATGTGTAAGAAAAGAAAGGCCCAGAAGTGATAGGTGATTTCTAATGATTAAAGAACCAATTAGAGATGGAACTGGAACTTGAATTTAGGACTTTTGGATTCATTTGTCCTGCCCTTTCAATAACAACGATCCCCTGTAATGACACTGATGCATTCTGTGGCCTCTTGACTAAGCCAGTTTGTCCTATTGCCAAGGTCTTTCTGTTGACAATTGGGAACCTTCAAAGATTAGAAGTGGATGAGGCTATAGGTCCCTTTCCCCATGTGAAGGTTAATTCTATCTTTCGACTTGGTTAGATGAAGGAATGCTGCGTGGAATGTCATGATGGTGAATAAGCCATTCTGTAAATCCATGGATGGTAGTTTTGGCAGAGGCATTTTATGCTGGGAAGGCAAATCCATATCCAGAATAAGTGTATATTCCAGTAAGGACAAAACGCTGCCCCTTCCATGATGGAAGAAGTCCAGTGTAATCAACCTGCTACCAGGTGACTGGCAGATCACACCTGAGAATGGTGCCATATAGGGGGCTCAGTGTTGGTCTCTGTTACTGGCAGATTGGGCATTCAGTGGTGGCCGTAGCCAGATCGGCCTTGGTGAGCAGAAGTCCATGTTGCTGAGCCTATGCATAACTTCCATCCCTGCCACCATGGCCACTTTGCCTGGCTAAGAAAGGAGTTACAGTGTTGGCTGGGGTGACTAACCCAGACCACCAAGGGGAAGTTGGACTACTACTTCACAATGGAAGTAGGGAAGATTATATCTGGAATATAGGAGATCCCTTGGGATGTCTCTTAGTACTACCAAGCCCTATGATTAAGGTCAATGTTAAATTATAACAGCCAAATTCAAGCAAGACTACGAATGGCCCAGACTCTTCAGCGATGAAGGTTGGGGTCTCTCCACCAGGTAAAGAATCACGACCAGCTGAGGTGCTCACTGAAGAAAAAGGAAATACAGAATGGGTAGTAGAAGATGGTATTTATAAATACCAGCTTCAACCATGTGACCAGTTACAGAAATGAGGATTGTATTGTTCTCCCTGTTGTGTTAAGATTATGTCTCTATGTATATATACTGTACACATATTAGGCAATTATCTTTGGTTTTGTTCCTCTTACTCTTTATCATGTACCATGAGACTTACTGACTTTATACCAACATTTAAATACTGTTAACCTTACCTCATAGTATTTGCAATTTTAAGTTACGGGATATTGAGAGAAGGGTAAATATCATCTAAGGACTTCTTGGAAAGGGATTAATGCGTTTTTGGTTGTATGCAGGATAGTGCATCGTGTTAGGCGAAACTATCATGTTATTGTACCATTTGTAAATTAAGTGTTATTTAAGGAGATAGTATGGACACCAAGTTGACAAGGGGTGGACTTGTGAAGGTTAATTCTAGGTGTTAACTTGGTTAGATGAAGGAATGCTGAGAAACCTGATAAAGCTACTTTTTAAAGTGTGTCCATGAGGGTGTTTCCAGGAGAGATTAGTATGATAATGTGAGTGGCCTGGGTGGGAAAGACCCACCCTCAATGTGGGTGGGAACCATCCAATCTGTTGGGGGTCCAGAGAGAACAAAAGACAGAGGAAAAAGGTGAATCTCTCTCTCTATTCGATGGAGCTGAGATACACTCTTCTCTCCTGTCTGTGGACATCAGAGCTCGAGACTCTTCAGCTTTTGGGTTCCAGGACTTATACCAAGAAAACCATTGGCTTCCCTGGTTTTGAGGCCTTTGGACTTGAACTGAGCCACAATACCAGCATACAGTTTACAGATGGCCAATCACATGAGCTAATTCCCCTAATAAATCCCTCTCATATATTTAAAACATCTCCTATTGATTCTCTCTGGAGAACCTTGACTAATACACCCCATAATCCCCCTGCCAGGTGGTATGGTTCAATAAACAAGGCTCCAACTCCCTCTGTTACACTGAAATGTTTATTAACGAGGAGCCATGAAAACATCCTATGAGCTGTTGTTCTGTAAACTCAGTGGAGTACCAGCTCCGTCCTTTTAGATATTTCAACAAGCACCTGACAAAAAGGTTCAGTCTGAGACAAAGTCTGATGAAAGAATTCAACTCACCTCATGTCAGAAAGCAGAATCTTCTTGGGTCAGTCGTGTGGACACAGCACCCAACAGCCTTATCCAGCCAGACTGAACTCTGGACCTTGATTTTATCAGCAACACACTCTAATCAACTGACCTAACTAGCCAGAACTAAAGTTTGCAATTCTTTAATGCTAATTTGCTGTGCTCAGGATTTGAATTACTGATTATGGTATTTAAATAATATCTAGCCATTTCTAAGGTTTAAAATGAATGTACACCACACACATATTCCTCTGCCTAATGTGAAAAATTTTTAAACAAATCATAGATATCACAGCACCTTCAATCAATTGCCAAGAACATACCTCCTTCCTCACCTCCTCTTCATGCTATGCTGCGAGGCAGCAAACACAGGGAAAAGGAACATGAACTCTAGTCACTTGAGCTGAGTCCAAACGGAGGCTCTGACACTTCTTAGTTACGTAACCTTAAGTGAGTTATTACTTAACCTCTCTAAGCCTTACTTTCCTTCTTTGTAAAGTGAGGCTAATGAGAATAGAAGTGATAAGGCAAGCAAAATGCATAGCTCATAATATGATTATTACTGTTTCATCACCCACTTCAGTTCTTTTTATTCTTCCAAGTTTTCTTTCTCCCAAGTTCATATCTTGCATCCATCCATCTAGTCATACTTAGTGAGCCAGTATTAAGTACAAAGTTCTATGGATGGCACTGAAGAGCCAGTGATCAACGGGATCGGGTCTCTCCCCACAAGGAGTCTACAATCTCAAGTGCAGGTTCAGACTTAATTAGTGGTTAATCTTCACTGACATCTTACAATGGACCAAGCACAGGGCTGAGCACTTTACACTCATTATCGCACTTAATTATAAGCCACCTATAAGGTGGATGCTCTCTCACAGAAGACGAATCTGTAGCTTAAGAAAGTTGAGTACCTTATTCAAGCTGTATCTGAACCCAGGCAGCCTGACTCCCAAACCCCGATGCATGCCTGCACCAGACCCCAGGCCCCTCAGCTCTGTGAGCACTCCTCCTCCCAATTCCTCATGAAATCAGCATTCAATTCCTCCTCTGCGTGCATGCTTTTAAAAATTAGTCATCTTAAAAAGAATTGCCTTATGTATACAACTGCAGATGTCACAGAGTTCTTTTAGTACAACCCTTCTTCCATAGCTTTAATAGAGGCAGCATGGTAGAGCAGCACAGAAGAGGGTACAGACTTTGGAACCAGACTGTCTGACACTGACACTCACCAGCTGTGTGACTTGCTACTCTCTGCCACGGTTGTCTCACCTATAAAAACTTCTCACCTATAAAATTGAGGTAATGTTGGAGGTTGTTCCGAGAATTAAAAGTCTTAACACAGGTAAAGTTCTAAGCACAAAGCAAGCATATAGTAAGTGCTGCATAAGTGGTAGGCCTCATTATTCATCCCATAATTATGTATTCATACTATAATTACTATATGCATAAGTCAGGGCTCACCTTTTCTTTTCCTAATATTCCCAGGTCTGGAAAATCTTGATCTCTCAACAAATATTTACTTAGTTGAATGCAATAGGACTATTTCTTCCGTTGGTAAATAAAAATAGATCACGCTTGAGTATGCTACTTTGCCCAAACTCCTCAAGTCTTCCCCCATCTTCGGCTCGTCTCCTCCAACCTGGTCTTCATTATGAGAGGGACAAGTTCACTCCTGGCGTGGCAAGAACGGAAGACCTAGAAGAAAGATCAAAGAATCTTTGAAAGTCTAACTTCCTAAGGAAAGTACTTTCCTTTTTCCCTCTCTACTCATCTTTCTGTTTCCTATTTCTCTTCCTTCTCTTCCAATTCTTTATCCCATCAGCTATGGGGGCAGATACTGATGTTCGCGAATCCATCTAGTCAGCACATTGAACTGGACACCCCCATGCTCAGCACTCTGAGGCAGAGCGCGGGGACCAGGTCCTTCTCCCTCCAGTGTCTTGGGAGCAAATCGTCTGTGTCACTTCACGTCTTACCTCCTGGGAACTCGAAGTTCTGGGCTGGGAACTCTAGTTGCCCGCTCTCCCCGCCGCTTCGGGCTCCCCCTCAGTCCACTTGAGGGGCTGAGGTAGAATTCCGCGGCTTTTAGGCGCAAACTCTCTCCATAGAACTGCTGTGTTGTTTGCCAAAGCTTAACCAGCGGTCCCGTTGGGAAGAGGAACCCCGCGCTTAAAGGCTCCCTTGAACCTGGGCGGCGGGGCAGGGGCGGGAGACCCCCACGCAGCTCGGCAGGGCCGGGGTGGCGCACCCGCGAAGAGGGGGGGTGCGGCGCACCTGCCGGGGGATGGGGGCGGCTCACCTGCGGGGGTGGGGCGGCGGGCGGGGCCGAGCGTGCAGGCGGATGGGCGAGGCCGGAGCCGCCCGCAGCGCCCCGGGAGTGCGCCGTGCCCGCTCGTCGCCACTGGGCGCCCCGACCCCATGAGGAAGCTAGTGGCTCTGACCCTGCTGGGGGCCAGCCTGGCCTCTGTCTGGCAGAGGTTCCTAGCGTTTAGGTGAGTTGTCCCCCTAAATGGGGGGACGCCCCTAGATGGGGGCGTCCTCGGTTTTCTTTCTCTCCTCTTTCAAGTTGGGTCAAGGGCTACCTGGTGCCGACTTCCTAGGGTTAGGAATGAGGGGCTTGAGAACCTCACTCTTCACTCCCACCCAGGAGTTCTCCCTTGAGAACCGCTTACATGCGAAGTGAGTGGACTGCTTGCCTTTCCTAAGATTACAGGGCGGATATGTCCACATTTATTTTCTGAAGGTCATGTCCCTCCTTTCCATCCAGGTCACCCTCAACATTCTGCTTGTAAAAAAAATAAATCCAAAACCCAAAACAAAAAACGAAGTCCGTTAGAAGCGCCGGACTTGGGGGAAGAGATCAGGCTACCAGCTGCGTGTTTATGGCAGACTCAGACATTGCCCAAGGGTTAGACATTGAGAGGTACAATATACAACTCCTGGTAGATTCAAAAAGCTAGCCAGACAGCAGGGAAGTGAGCTGAAACCTGCAGGTGGTAACTGGCATTTTGCAGGAATCTGTCCTTTTGAAGTGGAAAATCTAGCGGTGATGGCCATCCCAGAAATGTTTCAGGAAAAATCTATACTGGGATAAAAAGAGGAACTGGTAGGTGGGGATATACATTCCCGAGTGAATCTAAAGCCTTTGCTTGCCTTCAATTGTCTTTGGTTTGTTTTTGTTTATTTCTCCAAGAAGAAGCTGGTCTCCTTTGAAGTTCACATCTAGAATGTGTTGAGGTGCCTGGTGCCTTTTGGTAACACTTTCTAGTTTAGCTTGAGAGTGTTTATTGTTATATTTACTCCAAGTGTGACAAAGTTAAATAATCACATAACAACAATAGTAATACTAGAGTAGATCTAAGGGGTATTTTTTCCCCCCTAAGGGGTATTTTTATGTGTCTATATGATAAGTCTACGTGTAGAGTTTCCCTGAATATTGTTTAATAAAAAATTTAAATTATCCCTAACATTTAGAAAAATGTTTCATTGTGGAAACAAGAACGCTGTATTGAAAAATAATTTTGCTAATTTTTTAAATTGTGATTAGTTTATTGAACTTATATATTTGCAAAGCAAGCCGGCATAAAATTTTTTAAAAATTAAGTTAAAGCAAAAGCCACAGGGTTTAGCTATTATACTACTATGTTGAATTTGGGGAAAGCAATTTGGGTAAGGGGTTTAAAAGACAGGGTTGTTGGGGATTAAGAGGAGAAAGAGCAAATTTATAACAGACAATACAAGTGTACTTCAAAAAGTTCATGGAAAAATAGAATTGAAAAATAATACAAATCTTTCCATGAACATTTTGAAATAGTCTCATACTTTAGAAAATTAAATGATGCTATTTTGTTCATTTAAATTAATAATATGGTTCAATTACTCATGTTATATATTGTCTTTTATTTGGGCAGCAAATTGTTTCCCATGTATAATCGCATTTTAGACTTTCAGCAATAACTGGGCGAAATAAACTGATTTAGGTACATTATGCACATACTGTCTACATTAGGTAAATAAACATAAATAAAAGGAGTTGCCTACTTACTTTTTATGTTACCTGTAAATCATGATAGAGTTAACCAATATGAAGGTAATTAAAGACCATGTTTAAGCATCGATTTTGGATGTTGTATCTTGATCTCCAGTGTTGGTTTTTATCTTCTACAGAGACAAATTGAATATATCTCAAAAAGAGGAGCCAGTAGAACCCCAGAACTGCCACCTTGTTGAGGGAATTGGTATGTATGTGACAGTACTAAAAGGGGCAGCTCAATTTCTTGGTCACCATCCACCTGACTGAGCCCTGCCAACTAATTTACTTACCTTTTTTGCCTTACACCTTAGTTTCTGCCCTGTTCACTTTACTCAAACTACTCCATCCAAGGTCTCCAGGGGTCTCCTAAATGCCAAATGGTGGGGCTTTTTCTCAGTCCGTTTCCTTACTGACATCTCTCCATCATTTGAGAATGTCATTGACTGTACTGTGGCTCTTCCCTCGCTGAATTCTCCTCCTTTCCCTTCTGTGATAGTTCACTCTCCTTCCTGTCTTCTGTTACCTGTCTTATATTTTTTCTTTCTTTCTTTCTTCCTCCCTCTTTTCTTCCCTCTCCTTGGTGGCATTCCTGGCTTCAAGTGTTACTTCCTTCAAAATTTATCTGCAAGTACCAAGAGGATTTGACTTAGCCCCTACCCTCAAGAACCTCACAGCCTATCTAGATGTCTTTAAAAAATTAATTTGAAATCCACAGTCCAATCTCTGACTTCTCATACTGCAGGCCTTCTTTTCTAGTCAATTAAAGAGAAAGGTAGCTCCACCTCAGACTCAACCTTGGCTGAAATCTACTTTACATGTCTGTCATTTCCTCCCTCATTCCTCCACCCACAACCAGCTCTTCTAGATTTCTGTTATGTCTGGTACCCCCATTCTCAAGAGTTTTAGTTCAAAATCCAGGAGCCATTTGCTTTCCCCCTGTGCCTCCAGCTTCCACGTGAGAATTGCTGGCATTGGTCTCTTCTGTGCACCCACATCGGGCTGATCTCAGCTTCTAGTTACTGCCACACTTCTTATTTGGGCTCCAAGCCATCAATTGTTCCTGACACTGCTGGTAGAAAATAAATAAATAAATAACACAGGCTAGATTCTGTCCCTTGTTCTGGGAATATATTCTTTCACTTTCTCACCTTTGCTTATGAAATTCTCTCCATGGATTTCTCCATCTCTGCTTATTGAAACCAGCGGCAAATTCATCTTCCTCTGAACTCTCAAAGCATGCTGAAACTCTGATTCAGTTATGACACCTACCACATGCTTCATTTCAGAGCTAGCAGTGTTCTCTCTCACCATCAGATTGTAAACTCTCTAGAGTCAAGGACTGTGACTTATTTATCAGTATGTGACAGGATAGTTGATTTTGTGATATGAATTTGTATCTTATTTTTCTTGCTATATATATTTTTTTAAAAAACAAAACCAAACCAAAAAAGAACTCTTGATTTTGGTCTTCTGCCTTTTGTCCCCACTCCCACTTTCTAAAAAAAAGTAACCCGGACCTTGTGTTCCCTAGTCTTAGGAGTGGTTTGTGCTGACAGCTGGTATGCAGAAGGAACTGAGGACAACCCCTTTCCAGACTTTTGTTTTTAAAATCTTGAGCTTCTCTAAGGGATAAGAATATGTGAATTTCTTTGAAAGCAGCGACCCTTGCCCCACTGCCTGACAGCATTCTGGGGAAGGAAGAAAACCTCAGAAGGAATCTTTAGGGAGGCTGGAACGTGTGTACTACAAAGCAAAGATCTTGTTTCCATGCATGACGTGGAAGTGGCAGAGTTGTTTGAATTAAAGAGACCATATAGGTTTGGCAAGAGTAATTCAGTGGTGACTAGTGTAGAGTGAAAGCCAGATGGCCTTCCTAAAACATTCTGTTTGGTTTTAAAAGCCATCACCTAGAATCCTTGCATAACCCTAGCAGAGAGACCCATTAATGACTCACATTGATTTTCCTATTAACTTAGTGGACTGGGGGATCAAGGTCAGATTTAACTTGATTTGAAAAACAAGGAAATGTGACAATCACTAATCTATTTAACTGTTTTGTGGAGTAATATTTATACTTACTACACATATATCTCCCAAAAGATATGAGCTTGCCAAATAACTTAGAGTGATAATTAGACAATTGCTGAGGTGTAGTCCAGCTACAATTTGAGATACCTCAAATTGTATCACTCAACTAGGTTTGAGAAGCTAAAACTATAGTTAATACTGTAAGTCATAGGTTAGTGTTCTGATTCTCCAAATATTTTTTGTTTTTCTGGGGCTTTTGGTTATTTATTTATTTATTGGCAGCTGGCTGGTAAGGGATTGAATCCTGGCCCTTGGAGTTATCAACACCATGCTCTGATCAACTGAGCTAGCCAGCCAATTTCCGTATCCAAATATTTTGAAGAGAACGGCTTAAATAAATAGTTGGTAGCTGGCTGGGAGCAGAAGAAAAAACACAACAACGCCTTGTTACTTCTTGTGTCTAATGGCATATGTTCATTTTATGTTTGAAGAACTAAATACATTAGAATGATCATGGTTCATCTGTCAATAGGACAATACTGATAGATATTAAGGATAAAGGGTATTTTTTCCCCCCTAAGGGGTATTTTTATGTGTCATGGTAGCTGGCTGGGAGCAGAAGAAAAAACACAACAACGCCTTGTTACTTCTTGTGTCTAATGGCATATGTTCATTTTATGTTTGAAGAACTAAATACATTAGAATGATCATGGTTCATCTGTCAATAGGACAATACTGATAGATATTAAGGATAAAAACCTGCCTCATCAAAGGCCTTGTGTCAACGAGCATTCTGTTGTGTCTTTTGCAAGCTTCTACATTATCCTCACAACCCATCTGTAAAGTGGGTGCTGCTCTCTGTGCTTTGCAGATTAGGAAATTGATACACAGAAGAATTAAGCTACTGGCCCAACAGTCTAGAACTAGAGGGTGACAAGCCTAGATTACGAACCAGGGTGATTTTCTGCTATGCCTTCATACTCTCTGTTGTGTAACACTGCCTTTCTTATCTGCTGACAACACACTTTTATTACAGAAGCTCCAGAAAGTATTATGACAACAGAAAATAGAAAATCTAAGATGCAAACAGCTGAAATATCACTAAGTATAGGCTGACCAAAACAAGGCAAGCTAGATATTTAAAGATTAATAAGACAATATTCACAAGACCCAACTAGTCAGTGCGTTTATGAGGCAATGGAAAGCCACTGAAAGATTCTAGGTAGGGTGTATGAGGTTGTAACAGAGCTGGAGAAAAATTCTGATTTGTCTTTTCTTCAAAACCCAGGTTTTTGAGGTTAATTGTATTGGTGGAAGAAACTCTTCCTTTTTTCCCCCCAGCATTCTTTCCGGGAAGAAAAGTTGAAAGGTGAAATATGAAATATGATTTCTCCCTCCAGAAATCATATCTCATATGATGCATTAAGTTTATCTTTGTTCCAAGGCTTTGAAGGTCAAAGATTGTTTTAACCAGGAAGTTATCTGGCTGTCCTTGGCATCTAATCAGAGCTGCCCGTGAAATATGAATAGCTCTGTTAGGGCTTTCCCTGGGCAAGATTATCAAGTGGCAGCCTTTGTATGTGCTGTCTTCCTATCTTTCTCCCCTTCCTCCCTTTTATAGCGTCCTATTCTCCATGATATACTTCTACTCTGTAGTAGGTTCCATTTGTTTTCTCAGCTGGCTGTCATAAACGTTTCTTCAAGCTGTGAAATGACAATGATAAAATTAACTGATAGTAATGATTTTTGTGTGACCCTTTCACAGGGTGCCTGAAGGAATGAAGAAATGAAAAAATGATGAAAGAAATAGTTATGCCAAATAGTAGAGGGTTGGCAGGTTAAAAAGCAGTTAACCAATATGAAGGTGATTATTGGTCAGGCACCTATTCATAAGACTGATTTTGACTTGACAGGCTTTAGTGACAGTTGTGCATAGGCTAATAAGTATGTTGAGAGGACTCAGAGGAGGCTGTCCTTGGGCTTTTACTCCCACAGGTGCCATTGTTGCTGAGATGCACTGGCCCACCATGCAGGTGCAGTATAGATGGAGGTAAAGAGGGGTGGAAATATTGTGCAATCACCTGGTTATTTTGTTCCACCTCTGAGTGCAAAGCACCAGCTTCCACATGCTCTGGATGGAGCAAGTAAATAGACAGGCACAATACCTCTGGAAAATGCCCATTCTGCTGTAGGTCAGTTAGTGAGGTAGGTTTTTACTCTCAGAGGAAATATGTACAATAATGTTTGGAAGAGAAAAGGAGCCAAACCAGAGAGCACACAACTCAAGATATCTCGTACTTAGAAATTGACATGTCAATAGTTTAACCTCAAAACAAGACCAAGTTCAAAAAACTGAAAGTGTTTATTTTATTTATTGAGCCAACCAGCTCTTATTGAGAGCTTCTATAGTGAAAAGGCAGGTATTATGTTGGGTGCAAGGATACACCACTGAATAAAACCCTGTCCTTGTTCCCAGGAAACTTACTATCTAGTAGGAAATTAATAAATGAACAGAGGGGTGTAGCCCAGTGTGAAAAATATCATGATGGAGGTAGTCAAGGTGACCATATTACTACATAAAGTGGACGCTGAAATCAGGAGAGTATGGAAAGGCTGTGGGGATGGCCCCCAAGCTCATTCCAAGAGCCTGTGATCTTGGCCAAGGGGACGTAAGGGTGGGGTGGGAAATGTCTCAGTGTGGCAAGAGAGCAAAACAGCGTGTGCACAGGCATGCAGCTGCATGAGTCTGGCACACACTTCACAAACGACTCACATAAGGCCCCCACACAGCTGGAATGTATAATGACCCGAGAGTGGTGCCAAGATATGGAGGGGTTTGGACCTACACCAAGGATCCAGCCCTACTGGGCCTCTGGAAGGTTTTAAGCAGGGGAGTGATGAGGTTAATGTTGCCATTAAAAAGACAACTGTCAGCAGAGAATGATTGTAGGGGAGCAAAGCTGACCTATGGAGAAGCTATAGTAGAAATGCAGGAGAAAGACCAAGAGCTTGAAAGATGTGATTAACTGGATTTGGGGATTAGGAGAAGGAAGTCGTCATCAAAGATAAATCCAAGGTTCCTGCTTTGGGTACTTGGGGAATGGAAGTGCCATTTATTGAAACAGAAATATAGGAAATGAAGCAAGCAGATTTAATGGAATGGTTAACAACAGCTCTCAATAGTAAAGAGATCTGGTTAAACTCTTCCATATTCATTTATACTCAGTAGTCTAACCTGAGACCTACTGCTTTTATAACAAGAACAATCACTCAGTAATTTCCCAACATGATTATATAATGATAGATGTTTAGGCCTCAACAAGTTGGAAGAGTAGGAATGCTTGGCAAAGAGGTCTATAAGAGACCTTCACAATTATGACTTTCCAAATTTTATCACTCAGTCTGTAGATCAGCCTTCTATGTGGAATAAAGCTGAATCTCTCAGGACATGCCCTAGAAATTGTTATTTAAAGAATAAATCTAGGATATGAATTTATTTTCTAGTTATTTGATTTTTTTTTCTCCGAAAGTGGTGTTCTAAAAAAAGAATTTTGTGTTTGAGGAGTCTAACTCAGGTTTTATTATAGAGTAACATGCCTGTGGGATTCCTGAAAGTTAATATGGTTTCCTAAGTAAATGGTTGAAAAAGTCAATGTAGTTTCCAAAAGAAGTTTAAAGTTTGGACTGTGAGATTTATTTTTTAAGTCTTCAGACATGCATCTTTCTAATTCTCTACTTCTTTTGCAGAATATGGCTCTGAAGATATTGATATACTTCCTAGTGGGCTGGCTTTTATCTCCAGTGTGAGTATTTTCCACGCCACTCTGGTGCTCATGTCAATAGCTGTATAGACAGCTGCATTAATGTTGTCGGCTAGAGCTGCCAGATGGACCCCTGCACTCTCATTCCACTTCTGTGTAAACCAGTCAACTGAAAAAGCCAAAACAGGATTCTGGAGGGCTAATTAGAACACCACAGGAATGCCCAGCTTTGACTGCCCCATGGCTGCAGCTCCCTGCGGGCAGATGCACACTCAGCAGAGTCTGAATAAATGTGTATTGATTTCCATCGGATTCCTAGGCTAGTGTCCAGATCTATCCTTGTTACTGTCCATCCCCATCATTGCCCTATGTGACAGACCTCAGCTTCTGGTAGTCATGTCCTCGCTAAATAATATTCCTCTCGCCTTGCCTGCCTATGTTTGGAGCTCTGTAAATGTTTGTGGATCAAATGCTAACCATGTTACTCAATCAAAAACCCTGAGCACTTTCCATCTGGGGTTCCCTGTAATTCCTTCTAAGTCTTTCAAAGAGAAGGAGAAAAGAGCCTACATTTTTTCCCCTAATACTGCTTTCACAGATTTGGGATGATCAGGAAGCTATGCCAGGGACTGAATTTCAATAAACAACAACAAAAAAATGTATATTTGTAAAATGTTAAAAATTACCATGTTTTTGTTATATCATTTGCACTTTCGAATGGGGACTAAGATTTTGGAAAAGTGGATTTACCACATTTTCAATGTGAATTCTGATTTCTGGAATTGCATGTCTAATACTTCATTTGGGGCAATAAAATACCCCCAAAGAATATGAATTTTAAATCTAAATATTTGGGGTCAAAAAGGTCAGGTATAATAACCATGGCCTGAATTGCTAAACTCCCCTGTATGCACAATAGAGTATAGTGAGGGTCTCATCTGGATTTAAACTGCTGGTAATACTGGTGCTGGTGCTGGTAGTGGTATGCGTGGGTGGGATTTTATTTCTTTCCTTTCCTCTAAAATCAAAGATAAAACAAAACTGTCTAGAAAAGCTTTTTCTTTGTTTATATAAATTTTCTATTGTCAAATTAGGTTTTCTGTGTTATGCCAAAATGATTATTGTGTAGCTAAGAGATTTCTTTGCTGTTAGGAAATACTATTTGTCATTCCTATGCTGTACACTCCCCCCCCCCCCCTGGAACTAAAAGTTCTGAATTGTTGCTATACCGAGAGTAGACATTTTCATCACAAATAATTCCATGAGGAATGTTAATATGAAGTTCTAAATAATGGATCTTTTTTTTGTAAACTAACAAATATCTTACAGACTAAGGATTATGTTTTCTGCTTATTTCTAATCTTTCTGTGCTATAATAAATTCAAGACCTTGTCTTCTTGGTTTCTCCTATCACCTCTTCCTGCAATCCTAGAAGATGTTTGGGAGCTACTTATTTACAGAATAATTCTGTGCAAGAGATAGTTTCAGTCTATGTAGAGATGCCAAACAGGATATTTTCTTCCCTGACTTGGGACTTGGCACCTTCTCTTTGCCTGCAGAATTACTTCTTCCTTCACACTTTGCCAGCTAACTTGTATTACTCTGAGAGATCTCACTATAGTGGCACTTTACTTCCTCTGGAAAGTCTTCCTAGCACTCGCTTGCTGGGTGAGGTGCCTCTTCTGTGGTCCCCCACATCCCTGTGCTTAGGCTAATATGTTCCATATTGTGCTGATAGGCTTCCTTGTAGCTGCATCACCAGACTTCAGGCTCTTTGAGGCCAGGACTTTGGAGTGTCTTGACATGCCCAGCACTTAACACACTACCTACCTGACATCTGCAGGTGCTGGAATATTTACTGAATGCATGAGCTGGTGAATGAGGACAGTGGAGGATTTCAATGACTGTCCACACATACCTGTAGTCTGTTGGGAGAAATAAGATGCCTGCACTTCCAGGTGATTTTCATCACTCTCATTGGTGAATTGTATCAAAAAAAAAAAAAATCCTTGCAATCAATAGCACACTGTAGGATTGCTGCCACAAATTCCTACCTAATTGCCTTTAACAGAAAACTAGGTGAGTGTGAGCCATTTATCAGAAGTGTTTCACTCATTATCACACTTAATCTAGGCCACGTTTGTTTGTAGTGCCTCGCCCTTACCTCTCTATCAAATCATTTCCATTTCTAGAACATTCAGTCTTCCCACTAGCTGGCAGCACCCTCACATGCCCCCAAGCTACCCAGGCACTTGCTGTTTTGTTCTCCCTTGAGCTGCCTTCCTGAGCAGTATTTTCCATTTCCTTAATGATCTGGATGGTGCAGGCAAATCAATCGCTTCTCTGGACTTCATGAGAAAAGGGAAGCTGTGAGATTAGATGCCCCTGACCTATTTTTTCCAGTATTACCATTCTCTGAGCCACTGTAATTGGTGACAAATTGACTATGGGTGAAAGGGTGGACTTGAAGATTGAATTTTATGACCTGTTATTGGGGAGAACAGTGATGCCCTTAACTGAGAAGACTAGATATCAGAGAGGAAGAATTCGCAGGGAGAATGTTGATTTTGGCTTTGACACATTGATTTCAAGATGCCCAAAAGAAGAAAGTACAGAATGCAAGCTCAAGCACCAGAAAAAGGTTACAGGTAAATGAGCATATTTGAAAGTCGCTGGAATAAGGGAAATACCCAAAATCTTATGACTAAAACCTGCAAGAAAACAATATATAGTGAGAAGGGAGGGGAGATAGACAAGGACAGAAGGAGGAAGAATCCAAGAGGCAAGAAGAGTAGCAGGACTTCAACCTGGCAACTCTACTTTGGACTATTTGACAAGGAAGAAGTGGGTATACTGCAGTGTCAAATGCTGCAGAGATGCAGATAAGGAGAGATAGAAGGGTTATCAAGTAAGGTATCTTGAAGACCATTGATATGACCTGTATAGAGGTGTTTTCACAAACTGGTAGGAGTAGAATACTGATTTCAGGGAGTGGAGAGTTGGAGCAAACCAGGCATCAAGATCCAGTGATGTTTCTTTAAAAATTTGATGATGAAGGGAAGAGAGATAAATGAGTATTGGAAGGGATAGTAAAATTAGGAGAAGATTTGTTTCAAGGAATGAGAAACTTGAGCAATTTTCAAGCCAAAGAAGGTGAAAAATGAGTGGTAAAGTGGGAGAGGGGGCTGTGATTTCCAAAGACAGAGCCCAGAGAAGAGAGAACCAAGAAAACCAGTGAAGAGGTTAACCTAAGAACAGAAGAGGGATACTCCTTCCTTGAGAAAAGAAGGAGAAAGGAAAAGAATGGGTAAAACTAAAGAACTACTGAGAGAGAAAGGAGGGAATCAAAGGAAATTCATGTTAAGTGGCATGGTTTTTTCAGAGAAGTAGGAGGTAAAGCCATCTATTGAAAATAAAGAGGAAAAAGATATTGGTTCTGGAACATAATGAAATAAATTCAGAATAGATACTTCGAGAAATCCAACCAATTACCTATTAGAATAAACAAAAAATTTCAATGAACAGTATTGAATGTCCAGTTGAAGTTGGGATGATTGACTTTGTAGTGAAGCTTTTCAACCTGATTTTAGATTTGCCCTTTATAAGAGCTAGACCAGGGCAAAGAGAGTTGGTAGAGAATTTGATAAGGAAGCAAAGGATGTGGCTTCTTAGAGGGAGATCTTTTGATTGATGATGATCTAATCTGGAAGCAGAAGTTTGTGGCTAAAAGCATGTGGATCCCTCATGGGGGTGTGATGGCTTAGGAGAATGAAAGAGAAAACAGCGCCTCCTGTGGTGGGCTTCGGTAGTGCTGGTGCTGTCTGCAGAATCCCGGCTTTCCCCCAGACAACACTGGGGCATGAGATGTGAGCATAAAAAGATTGTTCTAAGAAAAGTTTGAGGATGTAGGTGGAGTTGTTCAGAGAAGATTGACTACCATAGGGAGGTGGGGCAGGGGAAGGACCGAGAATAGTGAGTGAGTGAGAGAGACAGAGACAGAGACAGAGAGACAGAGAGAAGGTAGAATAGAAAAGAGAGAATGTAAACTGAGTATAAATGGAGATAAGGGTATGGAAGAAGATATAAGTTTGTTGACACTAATATGTATCAGAGTGATGGGGAGGGACACGGGGAGGAAGTGGGCTGTTCTTAATTGGTGTGGAATATGCCAACCCCAAATTTTAACACAATGACCTGGGATGCAGCAAGGGCCCGATACATTCAGGGTGGCTATTGCTATTTGATAAACACCTGGTCCTTCTAGCAGAAAGATCCACTGTCCAAATTACTGGAATTAACTTTTTGCAATAACTGGAAAAAAAAAGATTCATGTCAGAATTTTCAGACATACCAGGTCAAAAGTAGTCAGCTCTATGAGACTGGTGCCCCATGTTAATTCCCAGCTGATTCTACTATTTGCCACTACATAGTATAATCAATATAAGGATGGAAGCAATAAAATTAATCCATACACCCCTTCTTGCTGTTTGAGGAAGGTTGGTTGTAGAATACCAGAACTGGAAAAAATCCTAGCAATTATACATTTTAACTTCCTCATTTTATAGATGAGTCTCTTGGCCTGAGGCATTGGCCAAGGGACTCACACACAAGGTAACACAGCCTAGTTTCCTGCATTATATTTTTTTGAGTTAACTCCTCTCTAAGTTAAAAATTCTGTCTTATCTTGAATATGGTTCTTCCCATATTCATGGCCAATGCTTAGGTGATATCGGGAACCCTTCCAGATCAGATAATGCTAACAGCTGACAGAGTGAAAAATCCCAGAAATCTAAATTAAATTTAGAACTTTGAGCATTTTTGTTTGGCTTTTGATTTTAGCTTTCATATATGATGGAGTTTGGATGTATTGTCCTCCCAGAACTCATGTAGAAATTTGATCCCCAATATGGCAGTGTTGGAAGCTGTTTGAGTCACAGGGTGGATCCCTCATTAATGGATTAATGCTTTCCTTTGGGGGTGGAGATAGTGAGTCAGTTCTCCCTCTATTAGTTCCTGCAAGAGCTGGTTGTTTAAAAGACCCTGGCACCTCCCATCCTCTCTCTTGCTTCTTCTCATGCCATGCGATCTGCTTGTACCCACCAGCTGCCTGCCACTTTCCACCATGAGTAGAAGCAGCCTGAGGCCAGCACAAGATGCAGCTGTCCCAGAATCATGAATCAAAAAAACCACTGTTCTTTATAAATTACCCAGTTTCAAGTATTCTGTTATAGCAACACAAAAACGTACTAATACAATGTTTTGATATGTATATGTATAAATACTTATTCTCTATTTCTTAAAGGGATTAAAATATCCAGGCATGCCAAACTTTGCACCAGATGAGCCAGGAAAAATTTTCTTGATGAATCTGAATGAGCAAAACCCAAGAGCACAAGCACTAAAAATCAGTGATGGATTTGACCAAGAATTGTTTAATCCACATGGGATCAGTACTTTCATCGACAAAGGTAAAACCTGAATGTTTAAAGATAAGGGAGAAATGAGGGAAACAGAAACCATTGATCCCCAACTACTCAACATTTGTGTTAAAGGAAGAGGGAGGTTGCTTTTTTACCAGAAAGCTGAATATTTGTAATATGATAAATGTGTATAAAAACATTTTTAAACATTGCATTAAAGAAGGAAGACTAAGATTTTTGGCCCTGTGTAGTGTCTTCCTCTTCATCCTATCCACTGTTTTCTTGTTTGACTGTCACAAACTGTTTGGATACTGTTCTCAGAAATCTGACACATAAACTAAAAGCTCTTTGAAAATAATTGTGTGACATATAAAAGAATATAGATAAATTAGACTCATCAAAATTAAAAGCTCTTGGGCTTCAAAAGACACCATCAAGAAAGTGAAAAGGCAACCCAAAGAATAAGATAATATTTGCAAATCATATATCTGATGAAAGGACTGTATCCAGAATATATCAATAATTCTTACAATTCAACAACAAAAAGACAAATAACCCAATTAAAAAATTGACAAACGATCTGGATAAGTATTTCTCCTATGAAGGTATTCAAATGGCCAATAGTCACATGAAAAGATGTCCAGAATCCTTAGTCCTTAGGGAAATGCAAATCAAAACCAGAATGAGATACCACTTCACACCCACCAGGATAGTAATAATAAAAAAGACAGACAATAACAAATGTTGGCAAGGATGTGGAGAAACTGGAACCCTCATACATTGCTGGTGAGATTGTGAAATGATGTAGCCACTTTATAAAGCAGTTTGGCAGTTTCTCAAAATGTTAAACATAGAGTTACTATATGATCCACCAGTTCTACTCCTTGGTGTATATCCAAGGGAATTGAAAACACACAAAAACTTGTACACAAATGTTCATAGCAACATTACTCCTAATACGCAAAGAGTAGAAATAACCCAAATGCCCAACAACTGTTGAATACTTAAACAAAATATAGTATATTTATACAATGGGATATTATTTGGCAATAAAAAAGAATGCATTGCTGGTACATCCCACAATACTAATGAGCCTTGTAAATGTTATACTAAGTGTAATGAGTCAGTCACTAAAGGCCATGTATTATATGATTCTATGTACATGATGTGTGCAGAACAGACAAATGTGTAGACACAGAATATGGATTAATGGTTGGCAGGGGCTGGGCGCAGTGGGGAAGGAGGAGTGATTTTTTTTTTTTAGTGATGAAAATGTTCTGGAACTAGGTAGTGGTTATCATCACCCAACTCCATGAATGTACTGAATTGTATATTTTAAAAGTCTGAATTTAATGATATGTGAATTATATCTCAAAAAACTGTAACAAAAACATAGCATAGTTATTAATACATTGTATATGCTTCTAAAACAATTTCCGATATTATTTTTTACTTGTCCATCATTCGTAATTCCAAACTAATTTCATTTTTAAATATTTGTGGGCCCATATGACATGTAGAAAAATAAGAACAGTGAAAACTCGCTACACATGAAAGGAAAGCCAAATTGAAGTAATGAAATTCAGGAATTTTAAAGAAATGTTGTTTTTATTCTTCCAAATACATACTGGAGTTACAAGGTATTGTTAAGTATAAATTCCCTCAGAGTGATTTTAATGGATTAAAAAAATGATTAATAATTATTTCTATACATTTATCCAACAGATCTTTGTTCAGTTCTTTTGGTCTCCACCAACACAGATTTGTTTATTTTTAAATAAATGAGTACCTTTCAAAATGCATGAATACTGTTCTATTAAGTAGGCTAAATATTCCCCTTAAAATCCTATATACACTTTTTATTTGCTTAGCAAGCCCTGCTTTGAAAGATAATTGTATTTAACAATTTCACATTGCTTTACAGTTTACAAGGCATTTTCATATATAATAGTTTCTTTATTCCACAAAATAAAACCCTGGGCCCAAACTTAATACCTCCCCTCTCCCTGACCCATGCAATCAACTCATTATAATGTTTTGTCCGGTTTACCTCTCAAATGTATCTCCAATCTCAAATATGTGTCTACCTCTCCTCATCCTCACTGCCACTTTCCCAGTCCAAGCTCCTAACATGTCTTCCCTGGATTCTGCATTGATTTCCCAACTGTACCTTCCTTCTTGTACCACCTCAATCCAGTTTTATAGCAAGGCTTATCTTACATGCAAATCTGATTATGTCACTCTCTTCTTAAAATTCTCCATATTGTTTCCATCACTCTGAGGATCAACCCCAAATCATCAGAATGGCCTGGGTTCCTGAGCACTTCTCCCATCCATTCTGCCATCTGTGTACTCTCACCAGCTTCAGTGGATACCACTCTCCCCCAGACTCTCTGGACCTGGACTGGATTTCTATTAGTTCTGTAAAGTGCCGCCTGCCTCAGGGCCTTTGCATTGGCTGTTCCCTCTGCCTGGATTGTCTTTCCTTCACTTCTGACCTACTCTTCCTCCCCACTTTAAACACAGCCTTCTCAGAGCAGCCTTCCCACCGTCTTGTTCCAGGTTACGTACCTCGTTACAGTTCCTCTCAGTGTACTACTTCTTTCAGCGCTCCCCTAATGGGTTTTTTTTTAGTGTTAAAAGATACCAGCCTTCTTGCCTTTTCCTGCTATTGCTCTATTGCTCCTTCTCATCTTCAGATCCAAGCTTAACTGTCACTCTTCAAGTAGGTGACACTCTATGAAGAAGGTATCTCCCTACTCTAGTATTTTTGTTTTTAGTTTATTTACTAATTTTCCTTCTTTTTTTCCCTTTAGAATATAATCACCATAAAAGCATATGTGATTTGTTCATTACTGGATTCCCAGAGTCTAGAATAAAATCTGATGCATAGTAGGTACTTTATGAATATGTGTTAAATGAATAAATGAGTGAACCCTATAGGACAGGTGGAGCAGATATTAATACTCAGTTTTATAGGTGGAGAAACACAGTTTAGAGAACTGCAGTCAAGTATGACTTCACTTTTGTCATTAGTAAATGGTCAATCCAGAACTGGAACCCAGGTGGTCTCACTTCTAATTCTATGTCTTTTACTGAGGTGAGATTAGTCCAGACCTTATTTAAATAATTCAAAAGCCTTTCCTTTTTTGCATGACACTGTACTAGATATAAAATGCTTCATTGGAGAAGGTATAATAAGTAAGCAGGTTAACCTGGAGATATTTCATTACATGGATAGTGTTAAAGGTGAGTTATCTGGGGAGGGGGTGGGGGAGAGGGTGGTGATGTGATATTTGGTTTTGGGGTTTTTTTTGAGATGGGACCAGTTTTCAAATTAGCCCTCAATCATATAATCAGTGTTCCAGAAGTTGAGTATATTATGATTGACAACTTATTTATTAGTGACCTTCCTTAATTAGGGATCTAATTCATAAGGCCAAAACATTACACATAGAAATAGGGATGGAATAAGGAGAGAGAGAACAAAAGTATTCTCACTAAGCATATTTTATATGGAAGGAGGGATCACACTGGAGGCACTCAGAGGGGTAACACCAGAAGAGCACATAGGATTGTGGACACAGCAGAAGAGTATCTGACTGAAGAGTCATGTTGGGGCTGAAATCCAACCCATGTTCTGCTTACAAAGCCCTGGGCCCTGGAACAAAGCTGGCTCAGACCAGAAGAAAGATTCATGTGTGAGGGAGCACCTTTCCTTAATTTGCATAAAGTTGTCCAATGTGTTTCAGGGGCCCTGAGTACAAACTGCATCTCAGGGCTTGGGATAGCTCCATCACGTGCTTGGAAACTACATCAAGGGAAGGAATAGGAAAGACAAACACAGAACGAGTCCTATAGTGGGAGGATGCAGCCAGATCCTTTAAAACTCCAGAGTTCATCGGACTTAGGGCCCCTTTTCAGATGTCAGAAAACAGTACTCTGAGAAACCAGGTTACTGCCCTCAATCCTGTTCATAGCAGTTGGTATTATGATATGAAAACAGGACAGTGAACGTTCTTGAGGTTGCTAATACTTGGAATTAGCTAATTTGTTTTCTATTTCATTCATATTTACATTCCATGTCCATTGGGTTCACTAAATGTTATTATTGCAACTGCAAATATTTGACTTTGTCAGAAGTTCTTTGTCTAGCTGAAATGTTGCTTATATTAAGACACTGCCCTGATATTTCTTGAACTTGTTTTGCAGTGTAAACAATTATCACACACACAATAATTCTCAGAGAAGTTTTGTTTGCTTGCGCCCACTTCTCTTGTTGAAGGGCCATCTGGGGAAACCACATTCATGTTTATGCACCATTGTAGCTCTGTGTTTGCCTGTAAGAAATTGTATGCAGGTGAGACTAAAGAGAACATTGCAGAAATGTCTGTGCTTGTGGTGAAATCGCTGATGAATCATTCACTTTCTGAGCTTCAATTTCTTCAGCAAAATGGGGATTCTGGCATTTGTCTGACTTATCAGGTGAGGGTCAAGTGCAAGATGTACGAAGAAAACCCTTGGAAGTGACCAAGTTTAAAAACAAGTCTAATAACAGTTGCAACAGAAATAAGCTGCTTGGAAATTATGCTTTTTTTTTTTCCATTTAGACTATACTGTGTATCTTTATGTTGTGAATCATCCCCACATGAAGTCCACTGTGGAGATATTTAAATTTGAGGAACAACAGCGTTCTCTTGTACACCTGAAAACTATAAAACACAAACTTCTCAAAAGGTATGGAATTAAAGTATTATCTACTTCTATTTATTTTGCACCTCTGCTGTGTGCTTTGTTTTCTTTGATTCAGCAGGCTTTCTTAAACTTTTGTTTTATAACATTTTTTCTAAAGCTTCCTAAAGATTCCCATGGTGACACTCTCCAGCACCTCACTAGTAATTGCTGTGTTCAGTATTGAATATCCCTATATTTTCCAACTTTTTGAAAGCATTTTAATCCTATAAAGGTGCTCAATTAGATTCTCAGCTCTAATTTCATCCTCTTTACAACAGCAACTCAATACCTACTATCGGGCTCTCTTTAAACACCTACACCCTTTTCTAGATATCCTGGTAGGTGGCATTCTGTGAGCCTCACCCACTGGCTATTATAACCAACCTCCAGATGGACAGTTTTCTTTGTTCAATCAGAACTTTAAAGTAGAATTTGAAAAAAGCCCATGGGTGCTTCTAAAAATTGCAATTGTTAAGCATTGACTATTTGCCAGGTACTATGCCAAAATTCTTCATTTAACTGAATTCTCACAACAGCCTTTAGTAATAGGCATGAGTAAACTAAGTCTTAGAGAAGTTTGGGGTCAAGTAACTTGCCTAAGTCTCACAATTTGTAAGTGGTAGAACCGAGTTGTAAACATATGTCTGTCTGAATTCAAAGCTGACCTCCTGATTACAATGATGAGCATCTTTCTTACTGCAGAAAGATAAAATGTTTTTTAATAGGCTGTTTCAAGGCTGTAGCAAATAGTGAAGAATTTGTCTTTTATAAAATGGGCTCAGTGCTAAAAGACTGGTTCTAAAACAGTAGAAGTTGGCTTTTCCATAGGATAGAAGAATAGGAAAAGAAAAGCGCAGAAGTTGATCTCCTCTTCTTTGCTCTTTCTAAACACCATATATGAATTTCTCCCCACAGAATTTTGGGGCAACAGATGCAGAGCACAGAAGAAAGAGAAGTCGAAGTTATTGACTCCTCCCATAGTGCATTGTGCTGGGTTTTGAGGCAATAGAGACCAGGACTTCCACTGAGTCTCTGAAAAAGGGTAGACAAGTCACTTAATCTGTGCCTCAGTTTCCTCAGAAAAAAGGGGATTCCCTCATTGGCCTGACTTACCTAAGTGGTGGGTTGTGAGGATCAAATACAATAGCATATGACCTTACCGGAAGAGTTCCCCAGAAGCACAGCCTGAGGGAAAACCTGATATGTGTTCACTTTACTAGGGAGTGCAATCCCAGGAAACAGAAGTGAGAGACCAGCCTGAGGCAGGAAATGGATTGAATTGTTTCTCCCCAAAAAGATATGTTGAAATCCCAACCCCTAATATCTCAGAATGTGACCTTATTTGGAAATAGCATTATTGCAGAGGTAGTTAGTTAAAAGGAAGTGATACTGGAGTGGGGTGTACCCCTAGTCCAGTGTGACTGGTGTCCTTATAAGAAGACAGATGATGCAGAGGGAGAATGCCATGTGAAGATGCTGACATTCGAGTGATGTATCTATAAGCCAAGAAATACCTGGGGCTGAGAGAGGAGAGAGAGAGAGAGAGAGAGAGAGAGAGAGAGAGAGAGAGAGAGAGAGAGAGGAAGAAAAGACCACAATAATATGTTGAACTTTCAAAAAGAGAGAACAAACCTAAGGATACTAGAGATGGGAGTGAGGGAGGGAGGAGGGATTGGGGAGTGATTGGCTGCGTAAGGGGCATAAAGAATAATTATGATTTGTAATAATGAATATGCTAATAAAAATACAAATAAATAAATAAACTTTAGAGGGAACACAGCCCTTCCAACTCCTTGATTTCAGATTTCTAGCTTCCATAACTATGAGACAAGAAATTTCTTTTGTAAGCCACCCAATTTGTGGCACTTTGTTATGGCAGCACTAGGAAACTCATACAGGGAGAGAGCCATAGCAAAAGCATGATCAAGCCAACCACTGCTAAGTGCAACCAATTGCTTGAAATCATGGGATTATCCTTCAGTAAGCAATATAAACCTCACGTCAGGGCAATCTGTTCAAGATAAGAAAGGGAGAAGAGTGTATCCACCAGCCCCATCTCCCATTCGTCAACAAAGATTTGCCTCAGAGGCTTTTGACTCCCCTACATTCCTGGTTGTGCGCGTGCAAGTAACGTCTGCTGGCATCCCATGCTTTGACGTCAACCTGGAAGGCTGGAAGTGGGAAGCAAAGGCCCATCACAGGCGTGAGGTAAGGGCACTGTTCGCTGTGCCTGTGGGAAATGTGTCAGACCCTCTGCAGAACTGGCTGAAGTAGAGGCAGCTGGAGCAGGTGAGTGAGGCTGTGAGGATCTAAAGAGGAGCTCGAGGTGCCTGGATACGTACAATGACCAGGCACTTACAAGGAGCAGAGCAGAGTGCTATGGAAACATACTGTGAGGGTATTTAACTTAATTCATTGTGTCAGGAAATACCTTTCAAAGGAAGGAACACTTAACCTGAGACACAAAAGATGAGTAGCCCAGTGACCTTGGGAAAGTCGTTGTATGTTAAAATCCCAAAATATTTCCTGATTTTTACAAATTTTTCTTTCCTAAAATTTAATCTAAAAATGTTTAATCCTTTCTACATTTTTTTCAAATCACCGTTTTGTTTTTGTTTTTTCTTTTCAAAAATGGAAATGACTTCATTGTTTTTTGCTGGTTGTAAGAGTAAGGCTTGCTTTGTTTAAACATTTTTTGGGGGTTGTGGTTGGCCAGTGTGGGGACCCGAACCCTTGAGCTTGGTGTTACAACTCTGTGTTCTTACCAATTAGATAACTGATGAGCCACATTTAAACATTTTAATTGTATTAAAGAACATGAGAAAGAACAATACCCATAATCCACCTACTCTGAGAAAATATAAAGGTCAAGACAGACTTGATTATGCCACAATAACAGAAAAGAAAAACCCTGACATCTTAGTGACTCAAAAGCACACTGTTTTATTTTATTTTATTTTCTTCCTCATGTTATATATCCAATGTAGGTGACTTAGGGACTCAGTTTCATATTGTCCTTACAGTCTATCATAAGTTACTTGTTAGTATGGAAACATGAGGGAAACAGGGTGGAGCAAGCACTGGCTCTTAAAGTCGTCTGGAAGCCACACACATTACTTCATTCATTGGCCAAAGCAAGTTGTGCGGCCATGCCTAACTTCAAGTAGAGGGAGAAGTCTAATTCCTGAAGGAGAACCATAACAGTGAACTGCAGCGTAACTGCGGCAAATAACCATTACTAACATTTACAAGTCAACAAATTTTGGAGTTTGAAGCTTATTTGTGTATTTATTTCTTTTTACTGACCTCTATGGAAGGCAAGAGTGAGAAAATAACAAATGAATAAAGAAAACCCATCAGGGCAAGGCAAAATTATGTTCTTTCTGCAAAATTCTTTAATTCATACTATTCATGTATACTTTTTCAAATTGATGAACATATTGGTCTATGTAGACATTAGTGATTTGGACAACCATCAGAATATTTAAATATCCCATGAGTTTCTCTCTCTTTTTCTCTCTCACTTTAGAGTGAATGACATTGTGGTTCTTGGACCAGAACAGTTCTATGCTACCAGAGATCACTATTTTACCAGCTTCTTTATGTCACTTATTGAGATGATCTTGGATCTTCGCTGGTGTTACGTTCTTTTCTACAGCCCAAGAGAGGTCAAAGTGGTGGCCAAAGGATTTAATTCTGCCAATGGGATCACAGTCTCACCAGACCAGAAGTAAGCTCTTTTACAATTTTTCTGCCCTTTGCCCTTGACATTTTTGTGGACTCTTTCCCTTACAAGATGGTTACTTCTTTAGGCCTAAGTGGTCAATGTGGGTGGCGGGACTAGGCACAGCCAGGGTTCACTAAATGAGTGATCTTAAGCAAACTATTTGTTCTTTTGCATTTCAGGTTCCCCTCAGTGAAATGAGGTATTTGGACTCAAGGATATATGATCCTTGTTCCAAATTCTTACGTGACTCTAGAAACACACTTGCCTAACACAGGAGAACAAATCTGCTATACCTCTGCCCATTAAGAGGCTAGGATATATTTAGCCACTTATACTAAGTTCAGTTACCCAAAAGCTCTTATTTGAAATAGGTGCCTAATTTATATTAGGCATAGTGATTGTGTAAGTTTCAGACTTACTGAATTACAACAGCAGACCATTCAATGAGAAAACACTATTTTAAGAAGCATGCAATTTTATGAGAAGACACTCATTGTAAGTGTTTTAAAATGGAAGGTTTTTTTAAAAAGAGAAGTAGCATGAATATTAACATACAAATTTGAGATAATGACAAGAGATGATCCCGTGTAAAACAAATCTGTGTTCTTCCTCTTTTAAAAAATGATTGTGATTGAGCTTCATGGTCATCATTTTCAAGCACTAGTTTTGGGAAGTATAGACTTTTTTGGCCTTATAAGAGGTCTGTTTACCTCCATTCAATTTAAAGAAAAAATTGTAATTTCTAAATAATGGGACTGAGCCTATATGTCATCTAGAAACACTAATTTCATTACTTTAGAGTCTTCTCTCATGTTCAAAGTCAGTTCAAATCACTTAAAGAATATTTAAAGACCCATCACTTCTTTTTCTACTGTGTTTAGAAAGGCATTGCAGTGGTAGTTTGGACTACTGTGGATTTTTATACCTCTTCTCCAAAATAAAAGTTAGTGTTATCTCTCATTACTAGTTGCCTAAATGTAAATGTCATTTACTTCAAAGGTATGTCTACGTAGCTGATGTAATGGCTAAGAACATTCATGTAATGAAAAAGCATGATAACGGGGACTTAACTCAGCTGAAGGTAAAAGTACCCTGGCTGCCCACACAGCATGGCTTCTTACATTGGCCCCCGTGCTCAACCCAGAAGTATGCTTCTTGAATGAAGGAAGCATGACTACTTCAGAGCAATGCTGGTGAGACTGTACTCACACTGCTAAAAAACAATAGCAAAGCCCCCTAAAAGTACCAATTTCCAGTGCCACAAGAAGCCAGTGGGGTGGGGCAAGGGAAGAATAGTTGAGACAGTGTCTTCACTACTCCCTCTTTTTGGAAGGTGATACAGTTGGACACCTTAGTGGATAACTTGACGGTCGATCCTGCCACGGGAGATATTTTGGCAGGCTGCCATCCTAATCCCTTAAAGCTGCTGTTCTATAACCCAGAGGATCCTCCAGGATCAGAAGTAAGTTCCTATACTTCTCTAAGCTCACAGGCAAAGCTGCAAGAACAAACAGTTTGTTGAGGTGACTTGGGAGAATTTAAGCAGGTCATATTTGATGTTCCAGAACTGAACAAATTCTACACATGAAAAGAGTAGAGAGTTTGGCAGGATAGCAAGATAGGGCTCATTAAGTATTTCAGGCCAACAGGTGCCAATTTAACATCAGTGCCAGACAGTGTGGTCCATCCCTGCAAGGGCTATACTTGCTTTTGGGAGTAATGGAAAAAATATGAACTTGATTATTCATATCGACTCAGATTGCATATCATGTTTCCAATCAGGAGGCATGCTGTGAGCAGGTCTCACAGTTAGGCAAAGAGAGAGGTATGGATAGAATCATCTTCTTTCACACTACCCAATCTGAAACCCAAACAAAAAGGTTAAATAACTGTAGTCTCAAAACCAAATAAGTTTTCACCTGCAGGTTCTAAAGTTTGCAATGGTGTTGAAGGATGTCTCCTTTTAAAGATGTTGTTTGTTTTCCTTTAAAGTATCTCTTCTAAAACAATAGCATAAGCCATTGAATTTTCTATGGCATTGAAAACAATAGCGTAAAGTGTTGCATTTTCTATGGCATTGAATTTAAGAATAAAAAAAAAAATCTCTAGTAAATTTAAATATAGCTATAAATTCTTGGCACACATACTCAGAGATTTAGTCACGAAAATTTATTGAGCACCTATAATGTGCCAGACATTGTTCTAATGCTTAGGATATATCAAAAAACAAAACATACAAAGATCCGTTTTCTTGGGGAGGGGAAAAGACAGTGAACTATAAGCATAAGAAATAAGTAAATTATACAGTAATTTTGAAGGTGGTGAGTTCAGTGGGAAAAAACGTACAGCAGAGTAAAGATTGCTGTGAGCAGGGGGATGAACAGGTCCTATTATTAATTACAGAGATCAGAGGGGCTTCATTGAAAAGATAGGGTTTGAAGAAAGATATAATGTTTGGACATAGGTTTGGGGAACTGAGAAACTGACATTCAAATCATAGCCTTGTAATTGGCCTGGTGGGTAAATCAGAACATGCAGTTATTTCTGCTTCCAATATTGCTGTTTTTCAGTTAAAAAAAAACATAAGATTTTATTCTCTTATTGACATATTACTCACAGCTTCTTAGAAAGAATGCTAAGAAATATTCAATTATGAGCCTAGAACCTGAAGAATTGTTACCCTAAAGTAACAGGTATTCTTGCCTCAGACAAGTGTCCCCAGACATGACAGATGTAACTCACCTACAAAAGCCCAACCACAATGTCTACTTTAAAGGAATGAGAATATGATCCATAGGATAATAGAAAAACTGTTTAGGATCTTTTTTCATATCTCTATTTTCAAGTTGAATCATTTATTTTAGATAAGACTTCTTTCTGCACAATTACTGACATCCTTTATTTTGGGTTGAGTCTCATGTTTTCTACATAAGATCCAATCTTGAGCATTTGTATGTAACAAACCTGAGATGAAGTTGTGGGACCTTCCTTAGGATTAAAAAAAGCAAAACTAAGCTAAAGTCTAATCTAAAGAAATTTTGGTACAGACTCATGAGTCATGAATTTCTGATTGTTTTCCTCTGATTCCTATTATGTTCTGTTTGAATAAACTTCATCCAGCTATTTGGAAGCCTGAGTGCTTATATATTTACTGATTAGCAAAATTAAGTGTGTTAATTCTAAGAATCAATGACAATACTAGGCAGTGATGTGTCAGATGGAAGTCCATAGTGGTATGCATTCTTTTTGCTTCCTAGTCATTTTGCAGATGTGAGGGGGCTCTACCTGTGGTGACTACCATTCTACCAGTTACCAGGTTGGGTTGGATGGCTAACTGGCTGTCCCTTTGTCATTTTGTCCTGTGTTTCCCTCCCCAAGCTACAGGCTCAGTCAGAGGCTAGACTTTTCCCACAGAGAGAGGACCACTATCTGCTCAAGAATTAGATAAGAGTGGCCTCGGGATCTTACCTCCTCCTTTAGATGCCCAAACTATCGAAATTGTATAAGCCCTCTATTGAAGAATTTAGCCAATGTCAGATAACCGGTCCTCTATAGTGCATAGACACCATTAGGACATTAGTATGTTCATCAGAAAACATCACTGAAGATATACAGACTTTAGCTTACTGATTTCTGAAAAATATATCAGTCCGGGGGTATTTGGGAAGGAAAACATCACTAGATGGATGCTTGCTTATACAGCATACTAATGAATGATTTTCTCTTGGCAGGTACTTCGTATCCAGAACGTTTTGTCTGAGGAGCCCGGGGTGAGCACTGTGTATGCCAACAATGGCTCTGTGCTTCAGGGCAGCTCTGTGGCTTCTGTGTACCAAGGGAAAATGCTCATAGGCACCATATTTCACAAAGCTTTGTACTGTGAGCTCTAGACTCCAGACATTCGGTAAAAGTAAGCCCCTAATTATATGGTATGTGGAACTGTGAGAAAATAACAAACATCTATTATACCTAAAATAGCAAAAAACAAAAGTATGTCTTGCTTTTCTTATGGATAGATGTAAAGGAGCAGAGGAAGGTTACATAAAATCCACCAAATTGTAAGTCATGTTAGTGACAGTACAACAAGAAGCCAAACTGCTCAACTCTTTGTCTAGCATCCCCAATGTTTCTACAATAAGAAGTGTGGGCTGTGACCACTGAGGTCTCCAGCTCACCCAGAGCCCTTTGGTAACCATGTAGGAAAATTACCTCCTACAACTGTGATGTTCTGAGTCTCCTACAGTCCAGACCAGGAGAAAAGTTAACATTCAAATATTTACAAATCCTCTTCTCTTCCCCCAATTAATGCTGGGCATAAACTGCTAATCAACTGTCCCAGCCCACAGGTAAAAGCAAGAACTGGCATCACGAGACTGCCCAAAGCCCTCCTCAAGCACATGTTCTCACCAAGTACAGACATTCAGAAAATCGGGTTCTGAGAAATCTGACAGCGACAGGCCTCACTGGTTACTTTAGGGCAGGCAGGGCTGATCCGTTCATTTGTAATAAGTCTTTATTTGTACTGATGCTTGTATCTGAAGTATTGCTAATGTGCTTGGCTTTCAAACATTATCTTTGTCTGCTTATAGCTCACTCTTCTGTTTAATTCAATAAACACTTACTAAACAACCTAAATGTACTTGGCCTGAAGGAATCTGAAATGAATAACACAGTACTGGCCTAAAGTCCTATCTTAAGAACCAACCCAACCTCAGTTTGATGAAAATGAATAAGTGTCCCTTCCTTGGTCAAAAACCAGGACAAACTTTAGCAAATCCTTCATGGGAATCAGCGTACCCAAGCACCTCCCTTCTCTTTTTTTGACTTTTACTGTGGAGTGGTTGTTTGGGTTTTTTCCCCTCTTCTGAGGATGGGGAGTTGGGGAGGTTTCTTTATATCCTAAAGAACATTGCTCAGATATTAGTTTTGCTGAAAAGTTTTGTAGCTGGATAAAATTTTACTTTTTAACCCATGTAACCCTTTCTGATCTGGCCAGTAAGATTTGTAGTTTTCACTGCTTCAAGGGAGGGATGGCCCCACAAAATGTTATAGTCACATAAGATGCTAAGTTTCAAAAGCCCAGCCATCGGGGAACACAGAAAAAAATTAAAATTAAGGGCGTATATACAGTCCAGTCTGTTTCAAAGACCATAATAATCATTTTTTTGTCCTTAACCCTCTCACCCACTAGATTGGATCAAGTTTACCAGACTGGGGAGAATAAAGAGAGTTAGAGATGGAATGGTGAAGGGAATTGAGGGGCTGGTTGGTTCCTGAGAACCGGCCCTGCCCTGCTCTCTCCTCAGGCCAAGATAGGAAAGGATCAGTGATAAAAACCCTCCAAGAAATTCGTGGCATCTAGGTGCTGATAGACAAATGTGCCCTTTCACAGGGAGGGCCTGGGAAAGTCACAAAGCCTCTGTGCCCAGCCTGATGCAAGAGCAGAGAAGAAATGCCAGTGTAGTTTACTGGGGGTTAAAGAGAGGTCCTGAGAAAGCATCACGACATCACCTGCACTCAAACCTGGCACAGAGCAAACGGATTACCATGTGCCCAAGAGGGGCATGGGGGTTAGCAGAGAAGAGAGCTGGTGAACCTGAAGAGTTCTCGCTGTCAGGGAAGAGAATACAAGTAGTCGTCTGTTTAGAATGAAGACTGGAGGTTAGATGGTGATGACAATGAACACATGTCTTCCATGATGCTTGGCTCTACTGAAGCCTCCTGGAATTTAGACAAAACTCCAGGGATTGGGAGGGGTCTGTGGAAATGCCTTTTATATTGATTTATGTTGCCAATCTGTATGGAGACTCAAAAACCAAATTGCATGATGCTATGGAAAAACTATTTTCTGATACATATTATGGTTTTAGCTTTTTCAAAGTTGGAGCAGTGTACAGTAGAAAATGTTGGCCCTTTCCTGGAATGAAAGATTCATCTCCAGCGTACCCTCTTTTACACTTTGTCCTTGCTCTTGCTCCAAGTGGGTCACTCTCAGCTTTCAGTTATTGGGATCCCCTCACCCAGTGTGTCCCCTTTTTGGGAGAGGCCCTGGCAAGGTGGCTTGAGCTTGGATTTCTCCTGGAGTAGGCAACTTACCCATTCTTGCCAAAGGATAGGAGTGTAGATTACCCCACTATCATCTTCTCTCTGCACTGTCATCTTCCTTTGATAATCTCTCTCTCTCTCTCTCTCACACACACACACACACTCTCTCTCTCTCTTCTTAAGTAGGCACAGTTTTACCAACAGGTCTGCTGCCTCGACAGTCATCCAACCAAACCAATTTCCCCTTCGTGTAATCACTCCCAGTCTTTGAGTATCTTGAGCCTCTTCCCTCACTTGACTCGGGAAGAATTGCCCCTCATGATAAATGCTGCATTCTAATGACACATTCTCTTCCCTTCCCTAGTCTTCTGCTTAATAGTCAGAAATGCAGATTGAGGATACTAGAGTGATGATAGGTGTGGTTAAGCTCTGAATAAATAAGCTTTGAATGTGATATTTGGCTTGAAATATTTTCAGGTATTTCTAGAATGTGAGATACTTGGTGCATTGTTGGTTTTATCTTTGAGCCCTTAAATGCTGATTCCGTGAACACTGGAAAATTCTCATTCTACACTCCTTTGGTATTAAACAGGTCTTCCTTCCAGGTAGCAGAAATCACTGTACCTAGTTTAAGAAAAAAAGTATCAGATGCAGGGAACTAGATGTTCACAAAATGCTTGGGTATTTCCTTAAGAATGGGAATAAAACAAAGATTCTTAAATTCACCATGACTATTATTTAACATAGGATTGGAAGTCCTGGTAGATGCTGTAAGATAAGAAAAAGAAACAAGAAGTGTAAGATATAAGCTAAACTACACTAACAAAGACAACCATAAATTTTAATCAAGGGTAAGATACCAGTCACAATAAAAACAAAATATATATAGCACCCAATAAATAAATTAACCAAGAGTACACAAGACCTCTATGGAAAAATGTTAAAACTCTAATAAAAGAGGTAGAAAATCCTTCTGAATATGTAGATACATATTCTAGGCTCTTGGGTAAGGTGAACTTATAAGGATGTAAATTCTCTCCAAGTTAATAAATTTGAAGTCCAGTAAGTTTTTTGTTTTTGTTTTTGTTTTGGGGTTTTTAAAAAAATTTTTTTTTTTTTTTTTTTTTTTTTTTTGTAAATGAGATAAACTTATTCAAAATTTATGAAGAAAACTTCTGTTTCTGGTAATATGGCAGGCTAAATAAACCAAGCTGCCTGATAAAAATAACAAAAGATAATGGATAAAATATATTTCAAAAAAAATTTTTTTTTTTTTTTTTTTTTTGTCTTTTTCGTGACTGGTGGCTTGGTGTCAACCACACCGCACTCAGCCAGTGAGCGCACCGGCCATTCCTATATAGGATCTGAACCCGCAGCGGTAGCGTCGCTGCGCTCCCAGCGCCGCACTCTCCCAAGTGCGCCACAGGGTTGGCCCTCAAAAATATTTTTGAATGCATCAAATATCTCACATGATAATATGGAATTGCCAAGTCATAATTTAAGTGAAAGCAAAAATCCAGAGGTAAGTAAAATTAAAATCACTTTTGCCCTGAAGGCATCTTCTGAACTGGTTGAACATGAGCTTTGGTTATTAAGATCTCATAGGGCAAGGGGGTACAGAAGTCAATTCCCAGGTCAGCCCAAAGTGATCTAACAGAGAACCATCTATAAAACCAAAATCCTGTGACCTTAAAGGACTAAATATCCAGTTAAGGTTGAAATAAATGTAAATTAGCCCTATATTTCCACTCCCAGAATCCTAAAAGGAAATTTGCTTTGGCACTGAGAAAAGCAGAAGAAACAAATTTAATATTCCTGAGAAGTGGTAACAATGTGCCTATCACCACTCAGATTTTGAGCCCAAATTCCCTCTACTTGGTCAAAAAAATATCTCAGGCTGTGAATTTAGTGTGAAGTCATGTCAGGTTGACAGTATATCTATCTATTCACATGTCCTCACTGGATTTTATCCTAGGTCTTAAAAAATCTCTATAAACAAAGGAAAATGAGCAGATGTCCATAGTAAATAATAATAATAATAATAACTGAAGAAATGGGGTAACATAAACAAGAACAGTAGAAAAAATGTCAGCAGAAATAAACTTGCAAAAAATCCATATACTAAAAAAAATCCAGATACTAAAACTATACTTACATTTTTTAAAGAAATAAAAAGACAAGCTTAAACTCAGGGCCTAGTAAACTATAAGAAATGACCTAACAAATTTGGAAAATATCAAATTGAACTTTCTGAAATGAAAACCTAGTAATTGAAATTTAAAATATAATGGTGTTGGAAGTACTAGACAGAGCAATCAGGCAAGAGAAAGAAATAAAGGGCATCCAGATTGGAAAATCAAAGTCAAACTGTCCCTCTGTGCAGATGACGTGATACTATACATAGAAAAACCTAAAGACCCTACCAAAAAACTCTTAGACCTGATAAACAACTTCAGTAAAATTACAGGATATGAAATCAACATGCAAAAATCAGTAGCACTTTTATACTCCAATAACAAATTAGCAGAAAAAGAAATCAAGAAAGCAAGCCCATTTAAAATAATCACCAAAAAAATGAAATATCTAGGTATCAATTTAACCGAGGAGATGAAAGATCTCTACATCAAGAACTACAAATCACTGCTGAAAGAAATTAAAGAGGACACAAAAAGATGGAAAGACATTCCATGGTCTTGTATTAGAAGAGTTAACATTGTGAAAATATCCATACTACCCAAAGGGATCTATAGGTTCAATGAAATCCCCATCAAAACACCAATGCTATTCTTCACAGAAACAGAAAGAACAATCCTAACATTCATATGGAATAACAAAAGATTCCAGATAGCCAAAGCAATCCTGAGCAAAAAATATAAAGCCGGAGGCATAACACTCCCTGACTTCAAAGCTATAGTAAACAAAACAGCATGGTACTGGCATAAAAACACTCAGACCAATAGAACAGAATAGAGATCCCAGAAATTAACCCACATACTTACAGCCAACTGATCTTTGACAAGGGCAACAGGAACATACATTGGGGAAAAAACTGCCTCTTCAATAAGTGGTGCTGGGAAAACTGGACATCCATATGTAGAAAAATGAAACTAGACCTGTACCTCTGGCCATATACCAAAATCAACACAAAATAAATTAAAGGCTTAAATATAAGACCTGACACTATAAAGCTCCTAAAAAAACATAGGAGAAACACTTCAGGAAGTAAGACTGGGCAAAGACTTTATGAAAAAGACCCCAGAAGCACAGGCAACAAAAGGAAAACAGATGGGATTATATTAAACTGAAAAGCTTCTATACGGCAAAAGAAACAGTTAACAGAGAAAAATGACAACCTATAGAATGGGAGAAAATATTTGCAAATTATGCATCTGACAAGGGATTAATACCCAGAATATACAAAGAACTCAAACAACTCAACAGTAAGGAAACAAGTAAACCAATTAAAAAATGGACAAAGCTGAATAGACATTTCTCATACAAAGATATACAAATGGCCAACAGACACATGAAAAAAATGCTCAGTATTACTCAGTATCAGGGAAATCCAAATCAAAACCACATTGAGAAAT